AAGAAAGAACCAAAAGTATGAATATATTCGAAGAGCGCAGTCGAAGGTAACAAGGTGATATACCATGAGGGCATCACCTGTACTTCACTTGCGCGTAGAAGAGAATTCAATGAACTCGTTCGCATGCTGCCAGGGCGCGACGAGCGCGATGTTGATCAAGTCCAGCTCTCGCATTGCACTTGTCTGCAACGCAAAAAAAGTCGGATGGCTGTTGATTCAATTACAGCGCAGCACCCAAAAGGAGGGCAACGGATCCGGCGACGAGCGCGACGGGCATACGGACATCAGCAACACTTCTCGCTCCGGAATGATTCACGACGCCAGATGCGGACGGGGTGCTGGACGCAGGAGTCGAAGTGGCAGCAGCACTGCTGCTGGCAATCCAGCTGCTAGAAGGAGTAGCAGAGCTCGAGGGAACGACATAGGAGCTGACGACTGTGGAGGCTCCTGGGGTTTCCGAATTCACGCGGACCAGCGTCTTGGTGATGGTGTGGGTGTAGGTCGAAGTGGTGGTATCTGCGGCGACAAGCTGGGTCGCAGCCAGGCAAAATACGGACGAGACAATGGCGTTGATCTTCATATTGACGGAATGAATCGCCGGGTTTATAAACACTTAGGAGATTGGTGTTGTGCACGCGACAGCGCTAGATTCGTATGTATCAATTGAGGTATCCTTATCCGATGTCAAGGATGGAGAACGCAATGCGCAAGAGAGCAAGGTGTGTAGCCGAGAGATTGGAACCGGCACGGTAATCTGTGATAGTCGCGCAAGGTTGACCAAAATTGAATGACTGGGGTGAAGGAGCGCTGAGAACTCAAGACTCGGTACGCGAACGAGTGAGCGCCGGAGTCAAGAAGCGAAGGAGGTTATTGTAAGGAACGTGGGGAGCACTGCTCAAGGGCCAAGAAGGAGTGTAAGTGGGAATAATATTCCCCAGACAACGAACGTGTGAAGGAGGTTTTATGAAGGAGAAATTCCAAACCAGACAGGGGCAGCGCTTTGTTATTTAACAACATGAGTCTGTCTGTGCAGCTTGGCCTGGGGGCAAATTCTTAACCAATCGCAAGGGGTCTGTCCATCCCATCAATTTACACTAATACAAGATTTTTTATTGTGTTTGTTTTCTATTGGACTGACTCGTCCTAACTCATAAGGTATGCTACCGAGATTGGTTGGGGGCTTGGTTCGCCATTACTGCTCGTACTGCTAGTCCAGTCCGCAGTTCATGAACAACGGTAGTCTAAGGGTCCAGACGGACGATGAAAACCTTTTTCTTAGGATTGTGGAGCGAATTACGAGGATCAACTTGTAGCCGCCTGACTACGTAGTTCGAACTCCGTGGAGGTTCCTGAAGAAGGAAGACCTCGTCAGCAAAGCGGATCATTGTGTGATGTGTGTGGCCGATGATGGATGGTCGGAAGGGTTCAACTGTGCATGCGACTTCAAAAACCTAAACTCGCCCCAGGAACGCCATGGGATGATTCGCTGCAGGGGCTCTAGGAGCCCCGAGAAACGAGATTAGTACATCTCTAGTGCCTCACCGGAAATTGGTGCATCGTCGCTTCGTCAGGTACGATCGAAGTTACTGGACCATTTAATTAAATGGACCCTCACCAGAGCCTAGTGCTCTTTTGCCTTCTTGGGTTGCAGTTCTGGCTGGAGAAGAGCAGCGAAATCATCAAGAGAAGAAGCGACAAAAAAGATTTTGATTATGTGAGCATCACTTCTAAGGGACCTTTGTCCTTCATTCAACTCCTGCAGAAGTGGTGGTTCTAAATTCTTTAACTTCATTCTGGCGCCTGCGGTCACCTCCATTGTCTCTGGGCTGTTTCACGCAGGTCTGAGAGAGGCATGTTGATTGTCGCGCCTTTGGAGTTCGAACCCTCAGGGACTAAACTCACCCCTTGGCGCAGCAATCATCGACTGACTTGGTTGATGAATCGGAGATCAGAGGATTTCGCACATAATGCTTCTCGTAATAATATGACTCTTTCAACTCTCGTCCCTTGGGCGAATCGCTCCAGCTAATGGGGAAATTACATGCGCTGGCTAAACTCCAATAGTTCCTTGATGGCAAATTGCAAAGTAAAAATTCTCAACTGGTCACACCGTTTACGAAGGGACTAGCAAACTCAGTGGATACACGCAAATGGCCATGCCAATGATGCCCCCAAGTCCAACTGTCCAGTCTTAGTCCATCCACCTGTTCGGCTGTTCCTGAAAATCCAGCCATGACCCACGGACAGGTGGCCCCAGGCGCCCAATTGTGCCTAAGGTTTTCGCAGGTCCTTAGGTCACGAGAAGCAGTATCATCATTGAGAAAGGAACTGGCGCAACAATAATGATCAAGGTTCGGTTGAGTATACACGACTCTTCAAACTGTTCCTGAGAGAAGAATCTCCCATAGATCATCTCTCACTGCCTCGGCTCTACGGAGTAGACTACTGGTTTCTGTCGCTCTTATGAGAATGGCCCCATATTTCACTCTGCCCTACTGAAATCTAGGCGTTCAGATCAACATGATCGTCAAGGTTCACCAAGCAACAGCTCGGCCTTCTCTTTCCGCTCTGGTGTAAGCAAGTATGATCATCTTTTATCGAAGCAAGGGCACGATGATCGGTATCCCACGAAGTAAAATGGTGATCATGCATACATCTGTGCATTATCACGTTATATTACCTGTCCAAACTCGGTGTCACCGCCAGCTCAGTACATCGTCAGGCAGAATTGTGATTAGGTCAAAGCGCGTTATTTCAGTCCCTCAGTCACCTCTCTCTTAAACAATGGCAGCGGCATTCAACAGCCTGTAGTGTATTGACAATGGGACACTGATTAATGATCGTACTTCTCAGAGGCGGGATCATTTCGAGCTCAAAAGACGCCTAGTTGCCAGGTACGGACGATCGTCCGCTTCCTTGGACCCTCGAAGATATTCAAGGCTCGACATGCTAGCATTCTGTCTGGCCAGTTGTTCAATGCAGCTGCTGAGCGACTTCCCAGGTTCCTCCTTGTTCAAAGTTAGTTGTAACATTACCAGCGTAAGAAATGCGACACTTCATGGACTTAACGACCGCACGTATACCGTAGCTCTGTCCATACTAATCATACGTACTTTGCTTCAATATTCAATGTTATGTGACCAATTGATTTGACATCTCATCAATCTCTCATTAAATGATATCCCTTGGTTCAACGCCAGAAAAAAGTGCATCGGTGGAGGCACCCTCCATCCGACCCAATGTCCGATGCCTCCATGTTATGTACATGTTGTAGGGAGAGTTCCTCCGCAGTGCTGACATTCTGCAACCATCCAGCAGCAAATTGCCATACCGCGTGTCTTGCTCCCTGCAGTACAAGGTTCCCATCCCGGTAGATATTATTGTACAAGTCGTCCCCACGGGTCGTGACATATCTCCCTCTCAGTTCCTGCGGCAGACGCAGTATTGTTCATCTACTGACGCATGGGCCGTAGAGGAGACTGACGAGGAAGCATCATTGGGGGTCCCCGAGCACGCAGCCAAGCGTCGTTGTGAGGTCCTTCGGTACGGATAACGCTACCAATCGACATGAAAAGACTGTCGGGAAGCACATATCACATTAGCACAAGAACTTCGGCCGGAACAATTTTAATTTCCTCCGCCCATATAACAGATGGCAAATTCAATTGTATCACGCTGGCTGGAAAGAAAGCTTACCCGAAAGTTGCACCCGAACCAAGCATGTATTTTCCCAGAGTGCGCATTACACCGTTAGGCCCAGCGCCATACTGGAAGATAGTGACGGTTCCTTAGACCATGTAAGCGACATATTCGCATAGATCAGTACTTCAATGGCACGAACCGATGATAAATCCCATGATACCGCCAACGGCTAGAAAGAACGCTTTGATTAGCGACGCTTCATGCGAAAGGACATTATGTTTCCGCAGGCTTACTCGATCCCATCAGAGCACCCATCTTCACTGTCGCAGAGTTAGCTCACCATCAACAGATGTATGTAGACATCGTCAAATGCCCCAGCTGTCTCCAAACTCACTCTTGTCAAATGTGGAGGGGCCGTGGCCTTGAGGCGGAGCTGCAACGACAGGCATTTTCGAGAAACAAGGGAGGAGATATACTGTATTTCTGAATTGAGCAAGCGCGTAAAGCAAATATCAAAGGTAGGATGCCGGAGTCTCAATGCTATTTGCGCAGGTCTTTGATGCTAGGCAAGCTTGTTCTTAACCAGCAAAGCTCCGAAGGGTCACTCCACCTACAAAGCCGCGGGCCTATTCCGTCAGATTCACGTGACCCTGAAGAACATCCAACACACTATGAAGCGGCTTCTTGTTCCATGATGGCTCGTGCGGAGTCACGTGATTAAGGGCCTCAGGCGTCCAAAGGCCTAAACTGACCTCCTCTCCCGCTGTGGTGTTTGTGCATCCCATGTGAATTTGTCCTGGAACTTTTAGCCTTTGTGCGTCAAGATTTCTGCTGTTTCAACGGTCCAGAAGCCTGTATAAGGCGGTAGTCCCGTCTCGTGCCTCCTTCCTTCCTCTTGGACGGCGTTCTTTCATCAACCGGTCGCTTCCCCGGCTCGGACCAAGAATCACACGGCTCCCTTGACTTGACGCACCCAGTGTCTCATTTCCATACTTTATTCTCAACTTTGCTCTCCAGATCTCAGTTTCAGAGGTAGGTTTGATATCTCGTCTCTTGAACACAGGGCTCACCGACTGTGTATTTGCTTCTTTCTTGGTGGAAATGAGACGATTTCGATTATGTTGGCATCGAAACAATGCTAACGTGACCTCAGAGTCGGTAGGGATCAAAGCCCGGGCATCGCAATACTTCAGCATCAATTAGTCTTCATCATAAACAATCGCAAACGAGCTTGGTATCCGATAAATCATTGATATTTCGAACATTTATCGATTCGCTCCTCGACTTCGCGCCCATGCGATAGGCGGTGTTGGCACATTGAGTTTCTGATATTGTCTATCGCACCAGCCCGTTTCTCCATGACTGCTGTTGCATCACCGCCTAGTGTGCAAGAGGGTCCTCGCTTGGGATGGTACGACTCTGGTAAAGGAGGACAAGGAGCCCTGACTTCAATGAACGACGAAGTTTCACGGATGTTTATGCCCCGGAAGACGATTCAGAGATCCAACTCCTCGTCGTCTTTAGGATCAAACTCCTCCACCTCCACCGTAGTCGCCGGTTCACAAAACGCTCATGCAGTACAAAGTAACAACGCTGAATCTGGTACCTGGTCTTCGAAGAAAAAGTCCTCCCGGAGCATTTGGCCGAGCACTAAGTCTGAACCGGCAACTGGAGTGAGTACCACACGCACGCAGGTGATGCCTGCATTCTCCTCTGGGCCTGGTGCTGCTTCGACCGTGTCCGCTCTCCATCAGCCTTCGTCTATTGTTCCCTCGCAGCACATGCTCCAGTCTTCCCAGCAGAATGGCGTCCGCGCTGGCAGCGCGCCATCAGGGGAGCCGCCGGCCATATTGACGCTTCTGCCAATCAATGGCACCTTTGACAAGAAGCAGATTACTGTTCCTTTTTACCCAGAAGTTTTGCGAATTGGACGACAGACAAATGCGAAAACCGTTCCTACCCATGTGAACGGGTTCTTCGATTCCAAGGTGCTTTCTCGACAACACGCGGAGATATGGGCGGACAAGACTGGCAAAATCTGGATTCGAGATGTCAAATCGTCAAACGGGACCTTTGTCAATGGCCAGCGCCTGTCTCCGGAGAACCGCGAGTCGGAACCACACGAACTTCGCGAAAACGACACCCTGGAGTTGGGGATTGACATTGTCAGTGAGGATCAAAAGACGATCGTCCATCACAAGGTCTCCGCTAAAGTTGAGCACGCTGGGATCTATGGGACCATGCCAAACATCTTCGACCTCACCCTAGGAGATTTGGATCCCGCTTCTGGTAACGGTCTTCTCCCTTCCCCGCTCAGTCAGCCTCTGTCGCATCTCCGAGGGCGCTCCGGGAGCACGATGAGCAATAGAAGCTCGCAAAGCGCTGCGAGCAGTCAACTCAGTGCGTTGCAGCAGCAACGTCAGATGAATTACTGGAATTCTCCAATCTCCATCGAACAGATTGTCAAGCGGCTTACAGTACGTTTGTTGCTCGCTTTTCCTCCAAACGTAGCATCCGACTAATTCTTTTTGCGTCTAGAGTGAAATGAAACAGGCAAAGCAGCAAGCACAAGATCTCCGGCAAACAGACGAATTTTTGACTTCTTTGACGAAACCGGGTCACCAAGAAAAAGAGAAAGCAAAGCACTCGCCACCAGACAGCGGTGTCTCGCGTCAAGTCAACGGCAGACCTAAGATGCCGCGCGTCGATTCGTTCTCAAGATTCTCAGATCCCCCTGCACCACCACCGCAGCAACCACTTCCCGAAAAGCCTGATGCACCACCCCGCACGGGTGCGGATGCATTCTCTCCTCTCAAACGGTCGGATACGGAGAAGCCGAAATTAGGTTCAAATAACTCTCCTGTTTCGCGTGAGTCCAGTCAAATTATGTCTTTGATCGAGGCATTGTCGTCCGCCAAGCGGGAGCTGGATAGTCAGGGTGCCCGTGTAAAGGAATTGGAGACTCTATTGCTACAAGAACGTAACGCACGGGAGTCTGCGGAGGAGAAGGCCAGAAATCTGGAGCTGCAGGCAAAGGGCATCGACGGAAAATCGCTCGAACAGAGTATGGGTTCTCGGTCCGATGATGCGGCGATCAGCGAGAAACACGCGCATGAGCAGCCTGCCAACGCGGAAATGCCTCCTAACTCGGGCTCAGACAAATCGTCCACCTCAGAAACTCTAGCAGACACTCAGGCTTATCATTTGCAACTTCGCCTTGAAATGATGATGGAAGAAATGGAGGAAATGAAGAAGCAAGTCGCAATGTTTAGAAATAGGGCAGAAAAAGCGGAGAGCGAGACGGTGGAAGCACGCAAGTCCCTGGCGGAGATGATCGAGACTCTGCGGCGTGAGCGTGCAGAGAAGTGCGAGATAAGCAACGAATCTGCAGCGCAGGAGATTGCTATTACTCGCGATCTTCCGGCGACTGACGATGCCGGCCATGTTGGAGGCGGAGAAGTCGAGAAGCAAGCACATCCAATTACGACACCGTCATCGTCATATACCAACGTCAATGGTTCTGGCACGGCGTTCGCGAAACAGCCCTTGAAACACGATGTTCTGGAACAGACCAGCCCGTATGCGTCGATGCTTGGAGTGGTACTTCTAGGGGTAGGCCTTATGGCATACCTGAACGGGTGGCAGAAGATGGACAAGTAATTGTCTTGGTTGTCTTCCTCGTCTTTCGGGACCTCGTCTTGAATCATGGTGTTGAGCGCATATGAACATCGTCATCATCTTGTTTGGCCCTCGGCCTTTCCCTCCCTCTTTTTAACCTTTCCTATTGTCTTGTCTTGAGTACTTAGCTTCCCACGGGTTGGTTCTCTCCTTTTCCTTCGTGTACACTGGTCACGGGCCCTTGATTCATTTCTTATCACTGGTTGCTGGGGTATTTGGTGTTTGCTGTTTTCTTTACTCTCTTTTGACCTGCAGTTATGACATTGCATAACGTGCATCACCGGACCTTTCCACATTTCCTCCTGTTCTAGCGCCCTGTTGGCTCAGTTACGACTTTCTGGCAGCAGTTGGTTTTCTCGTCATTTCATGTTAATGTCTCTTTCTTTTTCTGGGCAGCAGCAAGCCGAGTAGGGCTCACCCTCTGTGTATTAGTTCTATCATAGCAGCATCACTTCCTTTGAATTTTCCGCGAAGCGATGAATGACTTGAGTTCCCTTTTCAGAATGCATAATCATACATTGCCCATCCTTCTGATTGCACTTCTACGAATTCACCAGTATCTCAGTTCTCGAGATTACGATTAAGCTTTACAGCGAGTCTACGCATTCCTCTGTCTGCATTATAATTGCGATCTGAATAGTTGAAAAGTCTGCACTGCACTCGTGGATAGCTTTTACCATTGAATTAAGCATTTTCACCTGTAGCTAATTACAGGTTGCTTGCTTATACGCGGGAGATTCAATCCAAGATCTCCTCCACGGTAGACCAGGGCTATAATCATGATCAAATCTCTCTGATGAGATAGCTCACCACGTTGATGCAACTCTGGCTTTCAATTGCCATACCAAGGTATAGTGCCTATAGGAAGGATATGGCATATTCTTTCCATTTGAAGCAGGATCACCCTTCACGGCCACTTAGATATCGGTCGGCTGCGACTGATTCGGCTACCATCAGGCCTATTGACTAGAATGGTAGCGGAGGCGATGATGTTGTGGGTATGTGTACTAGAGCGTCGGTGAGATAAATGCGGTTGGCGGTATGACGGAGGTCAGGTCGGTATGAATCCTCCTCGGTCTATCACAGTAGACGTGCCCTGCGGAGGAAAGTAGAGAGGACGCCACTTATAGCCACTCGAGGCTAAGGCGAGATACGCAATCTGAGAAGGGGCCTTTCCAGTGCCATATCCGGGAGTGTTCACTTAAGCGCCACGGCGATTTCAACCATGTTGACCCATCGCGTTCGCGTCTCCGGTAGCTCCTCCACACAGGCCGAGGCCAGAGCATTCGCAGCGCGTTTCCTCTTCTTCGTTTCTGATTTCGATACAGGCTGCGCGGGAGCGTCGACAGACTGATCCGGAGCGGGTTGGCCAACATCTTTCTCGTCGTCTTTCTTCGCCTCCTGGGTTTGCTCCTGCTGCAGAACCCGTTCCGCCTCCTCAATCGCTTTCCGCTTCGCCTCCTCGTCTTCCTCGATGTCGTCCACGACAAGCACGCTCCCCGTCTTCACCCGCACCGCATACTCGTTCCCCCGCTCCTCGAACCACCGCCCAACGCTCAGCGCCCTCTCGATCGCCCGCCCCGTCGCCTTGACGAACACCTCCTCCTTACTCAGCTGCTCCTGGCCGCGCGCTACCTCAGCCAGCTTCTGCCGATCCGTCCTCTTGCTACTTGAGAGATTGACCGCCGCGGTGGCGCGTTTTTCGGCCTGTCGGAGAAGCTTCTGGACGCGTTTGACGGCGCTCATGAAGGGGGACTTGGTGGAGACGTAGACGATTTTCGGGACCGAGGCGCCAGCATAGGGGGATGCGACGGGGGCGTGGGGGATAGGGCGTTTTTGGACGCGAGCGTCTGCGGTTGGTTTTGTTAGTGGATTTCGTTCGTTCAGTCAGGTGTTGATCTGGATAGTACAGTACACTTTGGGAGCTTGAGCATGTCTTTGTTCTTTTTCTCGAACTGGAGGGTTTTGACGAGGGGCTGTTTTGCCATGTTGATTATGGGAACGCTCTGATTATTTGACCAGTGTATTTGTTATTACTCCGTGTCTCTTGCTGTGTCTAGATGGCTGACGCTGATGCTACGAATGATGCTATGATCAAAAGTTCATATCGCTGGTCTTGGCACTTCGCGGTGTTGGTGCCTTGGTGCCTTGGTCCGGCCAATCAGGGATATGCTGTCCATAGAAGTGCTTATAGATATCGACGAGCTGTTGGAGTCTTGAAATATCATCAACTTTGTGTAATTATCTGCAGCATCCTGGTAAGTCTATTCTAAAACCCAAGGTTATATAAATACGGAAGTACAGTGTTGCAACAGTCGAATACAGCAAACAATCAATCCAAAGTGCAGCCGATTGCGAGTTATATATCTCACCACCGGCAACACGTCTTTGGTGCACATGCAGCGATTCTGATAAGATTCAAGTAAGACACATACTGCTGCATCATTTGCCTCTACGTGGTTGATCAGAACCCAGGATTCTAGCGGCAATTCAAGGCTTTACTGTTGCTCTTCAAGGTTTGGAGAGTACCACAGGAGTGGATCCGCTCATGGCATCCGTGTCTAGAACATTGCCTACGAATCTAGGTGCTTGAATGATATGATCAAATAGATTAAGGTACCTATCACCCGAAATAACGCCAGGTCTGATTGGTGAGAATCGATGGGATGGGAGACGGGAGCTGCTGATGTCCCTGATCATTTATGCCCAAGCCTCTCCTGCCTTTCGAGTGAAGCAAGAGAGACTATCAGCGCCTTGAAACAAGATGACTTGACTGCAATACGGAATACTTGAAGGACCGTTGAACCTACACTAAAAGCACAAACGCTATCCTCATCCGAATCCGGCGATCCTTCGTCGCACGGCCAGACTCAGATTCAACCTCCAAAAGACTCAGGGTCGCTGGGCCGGCCATTCCGAACGGAACAGTCGAGATATCATCCAATGAGATAAACAGTGCTGCTGATATCGGTATTGTGGAGAATAGACGCGGCGGATCCAATGGTCCGCAAAGTCAACCAGCAAACTTTAAGGTTCTACCTCTTCTAAGATGATGACTTACTGACACAATCAGATTGATTGGTGAGAGGGAGACATGAGCGTCTTGCTGGCTGTACAATGAGGGAGTTTTGAGCAAGGTTTTATCTTTGTCTTGTGTCGGACCTAACGCGGACCGAGCCTTGACATTCATCGATTGCTAAGGTATGAAAAAACGTCGCTAGTATCTAACAGCATCTGCTCGCTCAGTCGCTTCCCCAATATATAGATAATTCGTAAATTCGTAAGAGCCGTTATAGCCGCGTCGATGTGCGCGGATAGTCTCAACGATATGATATGACGACAATTGGAAGGGGGTCAAAAGACGGCTTTCGTATGTAACATGGGAGAGGGGCAGGTGAACATGTTGCGCCCAGGCACAAGCATGGATGCATATTTTCGACTCTTGGCAGCAAATCTATTCTTCTTTTCCACTGCTTGTTGAAGCGTATCGCTCTGGTGAGACTCGCGTGACGATGCACGCACCAATGAATTGGCCTTTTCTGATTCAGGGCCTCGAGGTGTGCCTGTGATGGAGCGACGGCGAATCATCGCCTTGACTGTCCTGGCGACTTGTTCTCGGATGGCAGAAATGTCCATCTCGGTCCTAGCATTGGCTCCGTAGTTGGGTCCGTCGTCTTCGTAGTAACTCAGACGGTGCATCTGGCGTCTGCGTTCTTTCTGGGTTGCTTCCATCGATTTGCGAAGGACAGCGGTGTGGCCGACGCAACGACGCAGATTGGGCGACGGAGACGCGGTTTCTTGTTGCAGTTTGTCATGGGACATATTTGCTACCTTGCAAGGCACGGCAGCTTTTCTGGCGATAGGAGGTATGCGAGTATTGATGCGCGAAACTCGGCGGAAAAAGGCTGCGGTAGTCGGGAGTACTTCCATTTCCTCAGAGAGGACATTGGGGCGATGTGATCCAGACATCGCGTTTCGATGCTCCTCTTGGAGCTCACCTAGGTTCAATTGAAGGGTGTGAATTTCATCAATGATAGTTGTTGCTGGATTCGGGTCGTGCAGGGACCAGGGACTTTATATCTTCGTCCAGGAGAATCGATGAAGCTATTAACTTCACAGCCTCCTTCTCAAACAGGACAAGGCCGGATATGACCGATCACTTAGGTTATCATGTATAACTCCACTTTTCGTGGCCGTCCATGGTTCACGAAGATCATCTTCCTGTCAATTGCTGCGTTCCGCAGGGCTGGACGCCAGCCACCAACTCTGTTGACCTTCAACCGCGAACTGGAGTGGACCCTCTCTCCTCCCTGATTGAGATAATGGTCTATGTGTTTCGAGAGTGGCGAGTAATCAATTTGAGTCCTGATATCATGACTCGGCCGTTGCCGAGCGCGGTCATGAATAATCCACAATGATAATGGTATTGTCAATGCAAGCCCACGAAATGGCCTTCTTAATTGTCGTAACATCAAGATGATGAAGGGTTGATCTGACCAGCTATAATGCATTGAGTTTGCCGGCAAAATTTCTCTTCCATCTCAGGATGCGTACGGAGCACTATTAAGTTCTATGAAGTCATGATAGCATAATGCTCAATGTGAGGCTGTCCAATATGGTTAGAAATGATAGCTATTGATTCACTCACTGCGGAGTCACACAGTCGTTCAGCCCAATACGAGGTCTTTTCAGATGCATATTAATTCTGCCCTCCTTACAGAGACGGATGTTAGAGAAAGCTGGGAAGGACGGGGAAGAAGACTGTTGTCGAAGCCTGAGGCAGCACTTTCCGGCCTCCTCGTAAACTTCTCCCTTGTCGCTTTTGCACCCTTACAGCTCCCCTTTTCGCCAAGGGGGATGTATTGAAATCTACCTTAGCCTTGAAGATGCTCGTGGTATCTTTGATTCGCCTTCGAAATATGACATTTCTCTCTGGTTCTGCATTTCATCGACATTACATTTTGGAATTCGATTTGACGTCCATGAAAGAGTCAAATTTTCACTGTGTACAGCACCTCCATTGATCTCGTTAGCAAGACAGGTTACCCCATTCTAGCGAGATGTCCGACTTGACAACCAGTCTCGAATGTAAACGATCACACAATCAGAGGGCTCCCTAAGCGCTTGCAGGCATGGTAGCTCACGAAAGCACTCTGACAAGCACTCTGACAAGCACTCTGACAAGCACTCTGACAAGCACTCTGACAAGCACTC